AAGCCTACCCTGTGCGCTCCCAGCTGGGGGGGGTGCCTGGCCGCGGGATGCCACGCTGGACACAGATGGGGCCCAGCCCGGCAAGACCAGCGCCTCCTCCATGAGCCAGGTCCTAGCGCAGTGTAACAGACTGATGCTGCCAGACCCCTGCTGCCGTCCGCGGCTCAGCCAGGGGCCCAGGGCTTTCCAGTACGAGATGCCTTTGCCGGGGGTGGGGAGGAAGGCCGCCGGCGCCGCCTCCTCCTCTCTAGTCAGTCATGGCCCCGGCCTGGGCACGCAGCAGGGTCCGGGGGCTGCGGCAGTGCCAGGCTCACGCGTCTGAGAGGCAGCTCTGGATGCGGTCGATCCACTGCTGGGCCAGCGGCGCGTCCCGGGCGCAGAAGTTGTAAACACGTTTCGTCGTCTTCAGCTGTGGGGACAGAAGGAGGTGGCAGGTGAGGCTGGGAGCTGCCGAGGCTGGGAGCTGCCTGTGTCCCCCATGCCCACCCCAGCCCTGGCCCCGCACCCCGGGCCCGGCGAGGGCCAACACTCACGTCGAAGAAAGCCTTCTCCTCCACCGTCTTGGGGGCCCCCATGGTGGGGGTGCCCGGCGTGATGGATTCCACCTCGGCCAGGTCGATGACGCCTTTGCACTCTGTGTCCGACCGGTTGTCGTAGTACCGCAGCTGCGGGGCGGATGGCACGTCAGGCACTCCCGGCCCCGGCCCTGCCTGGCTTCTTTCCAACAGGACAGAGCGAGACAGCTCTATGCGGGCACTTGCCTCCCCTCCCACTGGATGTGAACCCCTTTCCTACATCCTCTCCAGCCTTCTGAGAACCCCGCTCCCAATGCGACAGCGCTATGGCCCAGCTGACAGTGCAGTGGCACACTGGCGAGGAAGACCATTCCCCGTGGACAAACACCCTGAATCGTCAGACACCCCAAACGCAGAGCACGAGCCCGGCTCCAGGCAGCCATAGCTTGGGGAGCCCATACCTGATGCTTGGTTTTATCCAGCACGAACCAGCGGGGCTTCCAGGGCTTCATGAAGGCGCCTTTCTTGTAGAGCGACCCCTCGTAGGACCTGCAGGTGAGGACAGGCGGCGGGTCAGGGTCTCTGCTGGGGTTGTGGCCCCCGCCCGCCCCTCCCTGGGCCCCCACTTGCCTGTTCTCGCTCTCCGACATCTGGAACTGGTTGTAGAGGGTGCTGGTGCTGCGGCGCCCGCCCTGCTTCCCGCTGGATGGGGTGGAGGTGCTGCTGGTGTCGCTGTCCAGGCTGAGGTTGAGGGTGGAGCCTGCGCCGGGCTGCTGCAGGTACATACCCAGCGACCGCCGCTGGTGCGACAGGCTGGACGACATCAGGAGCGAGCTGGAGGCCATCTGCGGGGGGGAGAGCGTGAGAATGGAAGAATTGCCGTGGACCAGGTCAATTCCGGGTCCGTCCTGCCCAGGCTCCGGTGTCCAGAGTGACAGGGTCTCAGCAGAGTTTTCCCTGTTCCTCTCCCTTGCAGCCTTTAAAGTCCAGGCTGGTCTGATGCAGAGGCCGTGCCCCTCGCTCCCTGCTCCAGAGCGCCCTGCGCCCCTTTCCTCCAAGCCCGTGTCCAGTCCCGGGTGGATCTGGCCGAGCTCTTGGCTCCCACCACAGCTGGTGGCCACGAGCCCCCACTTTAATGCCACGCTGGCTGAGAACATTTCCTTGTCTTAATTTTAAGCTTGCTCCCTGCTAGTTGCATGCTGTGACCCCTTGTTCTTGTCTGGGGAGAGACGGGCAATGATCGATCCCCAGTGACTTTCTCTTGGCCATTTCCTGTGTTGTGACCCCTTCTCCTGCCCCCTCCAGCGTCTCTCCTGCCCTGCCCAGGCCTGGCCTCGTGAGTCCCTCTGAGGCAAGCCCCTCCGCAGCGCTCCTCATCCTCGCTACCTGTCTCTGCACCTGCTCCAGCTCTTCTCTCTCCTGCTGGAGGTGGAGGGACCAGACCTGGGTGCACCATTCACCGTGTGCCCGCACCAGGGATGTATAAAGAGCATTGTGATCCTTTCCATCTTGTTTGGTTCCCTCCCTAATCGCACCTGCCCCGTTGTTTGCCTGCCTGACGGCTGCCGAACGTGGGGCTGGTGTTTTTAGCGACCTGTCCATGAGGACTCCCAGGTCTCCATCTTGTGTGGTCCTAGCTCAGTTCAGGGATTATTGCCCGTGCACATCATTTCACCCCAATCTCCACTGAACTGTGCCAGCCAAGCTGTCCGCTTGCTCCGTCGTGCCAGATCCTAACGCAACTCCTCACAGCCACCTTGGTTTTCACTTCACTGTGGGGGTAGCTGGGAGCTTTGCTTCCCCCTCTCACCCACCTCCACCCAGGCCTCGGAGGAAAGGCTGGAGCCTTGGCTCCGCTCTGGGGGTCTCCCTGGCCTCCCGCAGGCTGGATCCGGCCCGGCTTTGCCCCGTCCCCCAGGGGCCGAACCCAGAGCCCCAAGGAGGTTGCAGCTCCAGCTCTGGGGCCCCCTCTCCTGCCATGCAGCTGCCCGGGGACCTACCCTGCTGCCCTCCTGCCGGGCCTCTGTCCGCTGGGAGGCTTTGACCTTGTCCCACGTGTCCTTCCAGCGCTCCGGCATGTGGCCCAGCTCCATCTCCAGGTTGTGCAGCTCCTGGGGGTGGGGAAGGAGTGGGGGGATAACCCAGTTATTTTGTGGCAGGAAAGGAATCCCCACCCCAGGCTCTGCTTGCTCCTGGCCGCCCCCCTGGAGCCCAGAGGAGAGATGGGCGGGCAGGCAGGGAAGGTGGAAGGGGGCCCCGCTGACCTCCAGCAGTTTGGAGATGGCGTCGGGCTCCACGCGGCTGCGGTTGTCGTAGCAGGGCCAAATGATGCGGCGCTTGCTCTGGGGGGCACCTGTCTCCTGCTGCTCAGCCTCGTCCGCTGGCTCGGCCGGGCCCTGCGCCAGCTCCCAGTCGTAGGAGGGGCCCTCGGCGAGTGTCTCTGCTGTGTAGTAATCCCACACCTTCAGGTTGGAGACGTTGCTGTAGGGCCTCAGCACCTGTGGAGCAGCCTGGGGTCAGGGTGGGCCGGGGGCACCCAACAACCCTGCTCCCAACCCTGTACTGCGACCCAGGCATGGACGAAGGATGCTGGCAGCCTCCATCCAATGGAGCTCGTGGGAGGAAGCTGGGGCCATGCCAAGAACCGCCTGTCCCACAGCCAAGCATGGTTCCCCCACTCAAGCTGGAGCCCAAGCTCTGGGTCGGCCCCCAGGCCAGCCTGCCCCTGGCGCTGGAGTCCAGTGACCCCAGGAGACGCCTCCGGTGGCTTCTCGAGCTGGCTGCCAGCCCTGGTGGCTGCAGAAAGGAGCAGGGAAGGGACCACACAGCACAGGGAGCCTCACACCAGTATGGGAGGCCAGGCCTGGGCTGGTTGCCCCACAGGGCTCCCAGGTGCAGCTGGCCTGATGCCCTGCCTCCCAGGGCCGCCTCCGCCTGCGGGAGTTGCCCTGAGTCCGGTGTCAGCAAGCGCAGCCCTTGGCCCTGGAGGTGGGAGCCCAGCAGCAGCCCTGGGAAGGATGTAGACAGTGGCCATCTCTAGCATCTCCCACTGCCCCCATGAGCTGCCTGTGGGGTCCCCAGTGGAGTCTAGGTCTGGCTCTGCCATGCAACATGACAGGCCCCCACCCTGGCAGCCAGCACCAGGATGGTCCCGTCCCTCCCAGTCAGGACGACACAGATGCACACTGCTGGCACTGGATGCGGGGAAGCCCTGAGCATCCAGGCAGGCCCGGTCTGGGGACACGGAGGCAACGAGGGGACCCACTAGCAGCTTCTCAGCATGAACGCACTGCCCTAAACCTAGAAGGAAACCACCGTGCAGGGGGCTGGGCATGGTGTCCGGACTGCAGCAGCGCAGGCTGGGATCAGGATCAGGATTAGAGGGAGAGGAGCAGGATGGGCAGGAGGCTGGACTGGGGCAGGCACCACCTCGCCTCACCTCGCCATCCTCGGGCGCGTACATGTAGTTAAAGAAGACAGGCGTCTTCTTGTTGAGCCGGTCGATGTAATCCCAGATGGATTTGTAGGCCTGCTGGCACTTGCGCTCGCCCTTCTCCTCGTACAGCAGGCCTGGGGGGAAGGGGAAGAGACAAAGGCCCCGTGAGGCGCATGGCGGGTGGGGGGCGGCCGTGGGTGCTGCGGGCCGGGGCCTTACCCAGCTCAATGCGCTCGTAGTCGGAGTCCAGCAGGAAGGTGCGGAAGCGATTGGAGACATGGTGGTAGCTGAGGAACTTCAGGTAGTACTGGCTGAACTCGAACTCCATGGGGAACTGCAAGTGGATCTGCGGGGGCAAGCGCGTCAGGGCTGGCTGCAATCGCACCCCCAGGCCCAGTCCAGCCCGGGGAGATGCGCGGGGTGCTCACCTGGTGCACGCAGTCGAGGAACTGGAGGAAGATGGGGATGACGCCGCTGCTCTGGTTGGTTACGGTCTGGGCGCTGCGGCAGCTGAAGCGGTGGCCGAAGGACAGCCACTCCTTCTCCACCAGCAGCCGGAAGCCCTCCATGGTGCGGTAGTAGGGGTCCGAGAGCAGCTGCACCAGCGACACGACCTGCCGGGGATGGACGGAGCTGTGTCACCATCCGCAGGAGGTGGAAGCCCGAGGCCGCAGCAAGGGGAGAGGGAGGCCCGGCATCTACCTGGGTGGTGATGTCCCAGCCGTCCTCCAGGCTGACCAGCACCGAGGAGCCAGTGTCCAGCAGCTCCACCACCAGCACCGAGACCTGCAGGATCTTGTGGATCTGTCAGGACAACAGTGGTGGTTTGGGGGGTGGGGGTAGCAGGCAGAGAAGTTCTACTGAGGACTGAGGGGTAGGGCTCCTGAGAGTGGGGAGGGGGTGGGAGTCTAACCTACACCGGTGACTCAAAAGCAGTCCTTAGCTGCTGTTGCTGCAACTACCACTACTGTTGCTGCCACAGCCACAGCATGGTCTGTGGGCTTCCGCTGTTGCTCCTACAGCAGCAGCATGGTGACCATGCACCTGACTGCTGCTGCAA